GAGCAGGCTGGGGGCAGGGTGGCGGTGGCCCAGGCTTGGAAAGGGAGTGGGCGTGGGTGTGTGAGAACTCCCTGGGCACAGAAGGCTGCCGCCATGCTGGGCACGGCTGAGTCACACTTCGCTCCGCGGCGCCTCGCCCGAGGGTGCGGGAGCTGGCGCCACCCTGGGTGTGGTCACCGCGTGGTGGCCCTCGGCACAGCAGGGCTGGGTGGTCCAGGAAGCAGCGGCGGCGGCGAGGGGAGTGGGGGGAGGTGGGGACAGTGTCCTTGGTGGTGAGGGGTCGATGCAAAGCAAGCCTTGTGGCCTGGCTGGGGTCACTCACTCAACTGAGGCTGTCCCTGGGGACAAAGCCTTGGCCGTGAGAACTGTCGGGTGTCGGAGAGAGGGGGCTGCTCTCGAAGCCAGGGGTCCCCTCTCCTCCCAAATCCAGTCGAGGCTGGGAACTGGGCGGATCTGGAGCAGGCAGAGAGGTGGCTGGGACAGAATCAGGGGATAGGGGCGGGGGAGACCCCCGTGGACATTAGGGCGCCCCCTCGGGAATTCTGGGATTGCTTTGGGAAAAATGAAAAGCCCAAGGAGGGGCCTGGGATGTGACTCCTGGTTTCCCTATTTATAACAAGTGATTCACCCTCCCGTCCTCAGCCCTTCCTGGCTCGCCCCTCCCCCACCCCAGCCCCGGGGTGGGCACTGGGGCCCACCCACTTGAGAAGGTGCTTTTTCCAGGGGGTGGCATGCCCCCGGGTGGGCAGGGGCGGGGCGGGGGCCGCCTGGTCGTGGTGGCGGCCGCGTGGGGGTGGGGGTGGGGGTGGGGGTGGGGGGGTCCGGTGGTCAGGCGGCGGTGGCGGCGGCGCAGGCTGGGCCGCGGCTGGGCAGCTCAGGTCGGAGGCTGGCTGGCTCGGGGCCCAGGCGCGCGGAGCCTCTGCTTAAAGTCTGGGCGCATTAGGCAAAGCGTTAGTGACAGGGTGGGGAGGGCGGGGGGCGGCGGCGGCGGCGGGCAGGGCGGGGCCTGCAGCCCTTGGTATTTTCCGATCCCGGCTGCTTCTGTGAGGGTGGAAAGTATTTGGGGACCAGGCTTGGGGGCGGCGGCGAAGCTTGCCCTTGATTCATTGTTGGGGCAGCGTGGGGCTGGGCCTGTCCTGTCCGACTGGCTTGGCACAGACTGGCAGGCCTGCGTCCTGATACCCACATAGCTGGCCCGGTGTCCCGGTGTGTGCGGCCTGGGGGACCCCAGGGGGCGCTCAGCCTCCCCGCCCCCCCCCCCCGCCTCCAAGCACCCAGGGGCCCGGCCCCACCCCACCTCTCCGTCTTTGGACACCATCGCCCCCAGGAACTTGAAAGTCACTACAGGGGGCAGGGGGCTTGGTCCCCTCCTCCGGCTCCCGGGCACCTGCGTGGCAGTGCCACCCCCGCTCCACGCGAGCCCCCCCATCTCTTCTGCGCCTGCGGGGAATGGGGAGTGGCCTTGGCGGAGGCCCTGGGCTCCGTTCAGGGGAAACCCCACAGGAAAGGGCCCTGGCCAAATGGCTGCCCTTTCCTTTCTCGTCCCTGGGACGAGATTGTGCTGTGTCACTTCCGGAGGCGGCCCACGGGGGGGTGGGAGGGAGGCTGGCCGCCTGTGGGGGCCTGCTTGCCCCCCTTTCCTCTCCTATGGGCACCCTCAGACCCGAAGCGGACAGGGCTAGGCCCGGGGCGTGGCAAGGAACAGGGTGGCCAGTGCGGGTCTGAGTGCGCATGCGCCCGCGCTGGCTGCGGGTTTGGCTCCCGGTGGGCGGGTGCCGCCAGGTCCGGGTGCCGGGGTCCTCCGAGCCTGGGGTGTGCTTGTTGGTTTCGCGCGGCCCGTTTCTGCCTGGCAGAGGGGCCAGCCGTCCGCGTCCAGAGTGCCCGTATCACTCAGGGTGTGCTCAGCGCGCCTGCGGGTGCAGATGGGGAACTTTTGGGGGGGACCTTGAGAGGGAAGTCACAGAGCAGCCAAGGGACGGGCTCGGGACTGGGGTGCCCTAGCCTTGGGCTCTTGGCCTAAGCTCCAGCGAGGGCCAGTGACCCTTGCCGTCTCAGCGTGCCCTCTCTACCCCATTGGCTGAGTGTGGAATCTGGGGGAACACCCCGCTTGCCCATGGATGTCCATGGCAACATGCCAACAAAGGGGCCCGCGCTTTCTGGAATATTCTGCAGCGTGCCTCGCGCCAGGCGCTCGCTGGGGGCAAATATCACCGTGCTATGCAGTACACGGTGGGGGCTCCTGGCTCCATCCCACAGATGGGAAGACTGAGGCTTGGGCAGAGTGGGGCGGTGGATCTGGCTCGGGGCTCATGGGGTGGAGGCCTGTCTGCGTCTTTGAGTCTGCAGGGCCTGTGTGTTCTGGGATGCCCAGAGGCAGGGGGACTGGAATGTGTGTGTGTGCTGGCTGCTGGCATGTACCCCCATGGGTTGAGGCTGAGACCTGAGCCTCGGAGGAGACAGGGCCCGGGGCAGGCGGCGGTGGCGGCGGCGGGGTTGGGGGGGGTGGTTTCCTCCTGCTCTCTGGCTTTCAGGAAGTGGCGCCAGCTGGGGTGAGCTCACTTCCTCACTCGGCTGCCCGCACCCCCCCCTCAGCTTCCTCTCACTATGGCCCCATTTGGCCTGGCCAGGGTTCTGTGATGGGAGGGGAAAGAGCAGGGAGTGGCGGGGCCGGGTGGGGCTCGGGATTGCGGGATTGGGGTGGGAGGCTGGCTCTGGGTGGTCCTGCAGCCTGGCCTGTTGGTGGTGGTGGGGGGCGGCAGCGGCGGGGCTGGGGTGCCCCGTGTTGCTAGTGTGGGCTCCCCTGCCTGCAGGCCAAGGAGCGCCCCCCTCTGGACGGACGGAGCTATCGCCCCATCCCGGTCAGCTACTTCAAGCCTTCTCTCTTTTCTCTGCTCTCCAGGTGTGAGCCGGTGGTCCTCTTCGCCCCGTCCCTCCCCACACCCCCCCCCGGTCCCCTGTGCCATGGCCGGTTGGGGTTCCTGGGGATGGGATTTGCTGTAAGTCACAAATCACATTGCCAGGGAATTCCAACCGACCCTGTGCCCTGCCGCCGCCGCCGCCGGACAGCACCGCCCGGCCCGAGGAGCAGGGCTTAGCTGCTTGTGAACAGGTTCCCCCCCAAGTCGTGTTCACAGTGGCTAAGTTCCGCCCCTCTGGCCCCTACCTCCGCCTGCCTGCCCACCGCCGCCCGGCCGCCCTGGGCTCCGCCTCCCGTACCTACTGAGCTGAAACACAGTTGATGTCGTGGACACTGGCTCAGTTCAGCAGGAACAGGAGTCGAGCCCGCTTGGACGCTGGCGGCCGCTGCCTTCACCTGGCTGTGCATCTGGGACGGAGCGCTCCATCACGCCCACGCCTCCGTCTGTCCCTGGCCTCCGCCATCAGACTGATCCTGCCTGCCCCCCTCCCCCCCGGCCCTGGAAGGGGGGCGTGGTGAGGGGCAGAGATACCTGCCCTGGGTGCGGGGCCCAGGGAGGTCACAGGTGGCCTGGAACTTGAGCCCCTCTGGGCTTTTAGGGGTGGGAACAGCTGGACTCTGCCCACTGGTTCAGCGGTGGTGGTGAGGGGGGGCTTTGGAGTGGGAAGAAGGAAGCCCCTAGGCCATCATCGGGGCCACCGGATGTCATCTTTGTCCCAGAGCCTGTAGGAGCTTAGGGCGGATGGGGATGGGGAGGAATGAGGTGGTGGGAGGGCGGAGTTTGTCACGACTGCTGTCCAGTGAAATAAATGCAGCTTCAACTGTGCTCCCAAAGGTCTGGTGTCCTACGATTCTGTCACCTTCAACTCCCTGTCCTGTCCCCTTGGCTCTAGGGCAGGTGGCCGCTTGGTCACACAGCCCAGCCGGAGGGTGTCCTGGCTGTAGGCTGACACCCTGATCCAGGCGGTGGGACCAGGCCCTGATGGGGGTGGTGGACGGGGCTGGGCACGAGAGGTGACACTCGGAGGTAGCGATCCTGGTGACATTTTGGGGGGGGGGTTGGGAGGGGTTACTGAGATCTATGGTATAACTCAGGTTTGCGGGGAAGTGGGGTGTCCGGTACCTGACAGCGCTGGTGGGGGAGCCCCAGGCGCCAGTCGGGGGACAATTTGCGGGTGACTGGGTGGGACCCGCCCGGCGCCCATGCAGGTGACTGAAAGTGGTGTCTCAGGCTCGAAGCTATTTAGGGCAAGACGTGGGAGGGGACCCCGCGCTCACAGCCCCCAGAGCCCCCAGGCCCCCAGGTGGCTTCCAAGAGCGTGCGCGGGCGGGCCTGGGATCCGCCGGCTCAAACCTAACCTGCGGGAACGCGCGGGGCGGGGCAGGAACGCCTCCGATTGGCCCGCTGGTGCGGAGGGCGTCGCCACAAGCCAATCGCGGGGCCCAGCGCCGCCGGAGCCCCGCCCCCGGCCGCGCGCGCCACTGCAGCGAGGAGCCGGGGACCGCACACAGGTCTATCCGTCTGTCCGTCGGCCTCCAGGGACAGGAAGGCGCCGAGGGGAGCCAGACACGGAGGACAACCGAGGATCTTCGCTGTTCCCCCAGTGTCTTGAGCTCCATCAGTCCTGGCCCCACCCCCGCGAGACCACGCCCCCCTCCTCTGAGGTCCGGTTTTCGGCTCGGGATTCCCGCCAGTGCGCGGGGCGGTGTCCCTGCCCGGCCCCACCCAGCTCCTGGCACGGCCTCCCGGGCTCCCTTGCTACTGGGAGCGACCAGGAGCCCCAGTAGCAGGTGTCTGGAGCCAGGGCACCCTCTCCCAGAAGTGCTTTCTGGGGGTGGTCTGCCTGTCCTTAGTAGAACTTTGGAGCCTGCAAAATGGGCAGAATTCCCTCCCACAGCCGGGTCTGGCCGTGCCTGTAAGGCTGAGACCCGCAGCCGCTCCCCGGTGCAACCCTCACTGGAAGCTATGGCCAGAAATTTTTTGTTGCTGTCGTTGAAGGAGCAAAGGGGGCAGCGGCTGCCCACCCCCACCCTGGGGGCAGGTGGGGGGGAGGGGAAGGCGCAGAAGTGTCAAAAACCAAAGTTAAAAAGAAAAAACTGTGTTCAATCTTTAAAAAAAATAAGAGGGAAACCAGGAAATACAATATACTGTTCAATAAATAGAAAAAAGTTACAAAAAGGCCGGCGATCTTTTTCCTTAATATACAAGAAGGGAGAAGCCAGCGGAGGCGGCGGGGAGGCAGGGGCACAGTGCCGAACGACACAGAGGAATGACATGGTGCTGGTTTCTTCCCTTTCCAGGCTGGGAGTGGGGGGTCCCTGGCTCTCCTGTGCCCGATCCGTGGTCACCAGCTTGGGGAGGGCATTGTGGTTCCTGAGTTGTGTGTCCAGTGATGAGCAGGTGGGGGACAGGGGCACCATGAGGTCCCCCCCCAGGCCCACTGTGGTGTCTGAGGGAATGGAACCCTTGGCTGGATGGGAGGCTATGGGGGTGAGGTATGTGGCCGAGGCCTGAGGCCCCTACAAATCCTTCAGTGGGGTAGTGGGAGGGGGCAGTGAGACATCGGTCCAGGCTGGGCAGCCTAGAAGGGGGTGCGGGGTGGCAGAAGGGGGCCCCTGAGCAGTGGATGGGGGGCGGGGTTTGGGGGATGTAGATACCCTAATACGATACCAGCGTGGGGCTCGGGTAAGGTCGGCTGCCTTGACTTGGGGCCCCCCGAGGGAGCCTGCCTGTTGTTTTCGGGGTGCCTCACACCAGCTCCCCAAGCATGCACGCACGCACGCACCCCTTCCTGGGCCTGGAAGGCAGCGGTATGGCTTTCTTCCCGCAGCCTGGCATGCGGGTGGAGGGCTGCACCTGCTGCTGCTTGCCATTCCCCGTGGGCTCCTACCCTGACTTCATACCGAGACGTCCCCTTGGGGTCTCCAGTGTTGGGGGGCCCCCGCGGGCAGGCACAGACAGCAGGTGTCAGAGAGGCAAGAGGCCTGCGGTGCACGGGAGGGAGGGGGGGCAGGGGAGGATCCCCGAGACACTCCACCCCCCACCCATCCTGCAACCCCGACAGCCCTTCCGGTCCCTGCCCCGCATCAGCCGAAACGTTCCCGCACCAAAAGCATGAGTTTCTTCTTGCCCTTGTAGGTCTGTTTGAGGTTCTCCAGGAACTGGGTGAACTGCAGGTGCCCGTCGGGCGCCAGCAGGAAGGTCTCGCGCGCCTTGCCCAGGAACTCAATGAAGTCGCCGTAGTGCCGCGGGCTGATGTGCGTGAGGCGCGAGTGGCTGGTGGTGATATAGGCGGCCACCGCGGCGTCCAGCAGCTGACAGAGCGGGGCCCGATCGGCGCCCAGCGGCTTGGCGGCGCGCCGGGCCCCCAGCGGGCCGAGGCCCGGCGCCGACAGCGTCCAGCGCCGCAGGATATCAGAGAGCATTGGCGCGCACTGGATGCTGCGGATGAGCAACGGGACCAGGGCGGACAGCTCGTGCCGGCCCAGGGAGTGGCTCAGGGAACAGGCCCAGAGCACGTCGTTGCCGGCCGGGTGGCTGTCCTGGTTGAAGGCGATGCTGAGCTGAGCCAGCGCCAGCGTGGCCAACTTGTAGGCCCGCAGCGGCAGGCCTCGGTGCTCCATATAGCGCGCCACGGTGAAGAGGTGGGCGTGGCCCAGGCCGCCGGCCGCCGCGTCCAGCACGATCTGGTAGGCGGCCTCGAAGGCCGCCCGGTTCTTCTCGCACAGGGTCAGGGCCGGCAGCGCGCAGTTCTGGGGGTCTTTCATGGCGCACTGCAGGGCCAGGGTGCGCGCGCACGCCCACAGCTCCTCCCGCTGCGCCGTGTCCAGCTGCAGGCGCAGCAGCGTGGCGTGCGTGGTGCCCGTCACCGCCACGATGGTGGCCGCCTCCACGGGCGTGAAGAGGGTATACCAGTTCTGCATGATGTTCATCAGGGCCTGGGGGCCTGGTGGGGGGTGTGGGGGCGGCGGGGAGGGGAGAGAGAGGCTGGGGTGGACCCGGGCACGGCTAAACACCCCCCTACCCACCCATCACCACCATCACCACCTGCAGCTAACTTCCGCCCCTGCGCAAACCTCCAATCCACCTGTCTGGGCAATCCATGCCCAGGACTTGAACTTGGCCGGTCGCTGGGGCAGGCCCCACCAGGGAATGTCCTCCCAGGCCAGCCCGGAGCATACTTCTGCTAACTACTGCACCAGGGGGACAGGTGGCGGGGGGGGGGGGGGGGCCCTTGGGGAGCGCTCACCGATCTCTGTGGCACAGCTCACGAGCCAGCGTACCATCTCCCTCCGCCGCCACGTCATCGTGTTCAAGGTCATTCGCATAACCTGGGGCCGGCAGAGGGGGGGAAAAGGGCACATGGGGCAGGGGGGTGGCACCAGAGCTTTGGGCTGGTCTGTGGACCCCAGGGACAGGGGTTGAGGGGAGGAGAACTGAAGGGCTGTTCCAATGGCCCTGGATAAGCAACCTCAGTTTGCCTATCTGTAAAATGGAATGGGTCTGGTGTAGCCACTGTTTGGGATACCCGCATCGCAGATCGGAGTGCCGGAAGTTCAAGTCCCGGCTCTGCTCCCAATCCCAGCTCCCTGCTGATGCGCACCTGGGAGGCAGCAGGTGACAGCTCAAGTGCTTGGGCCCCTGCAGGTCCCGCCCCCCGCCCCCACAGTTGACCCTTCACCTACAGGCCTGCCCAGCCCCCGCCCTGTTCTTCAGCGTTAGCCCCGCCTCCTCGAGAGCAGGGGTGGGGGTGGTTTTTTCCCCCTTCAGGCCCTGCCCCCACAAAAGCTTCTGATTGGCAGGTTCTGCCCATCCTTGGCTTCAGCCCCACCCACCCAGGGTCCTTAACCAATAGCAGACAAGCCCCAGGCCCCCCCCTTGTGGCCACAAGCCGGGCCACGCCCCCTCTCCAGCTCAGGCCCCGCCCCAGGCCGCGCCTCCTCCCACGCCCACCCTGCCTCACCTGCAGGCCGAGCTCCAGGGCGATGCCCAGCAGCGTGGCGTCCGGTGGTGCGCTGGCCGGCGTGGCCGTCTTGCAGGCGTCCTGCGCCAGCTTGAAGAGCAGCGCTGGCGAGTGGATGTTCTGCTGGATGGAGCCCAGCACCGCGTGCAGCCACTTGGGGTCTCCTGGGCGGAGGCGGGGCCGGAGGGAACGCGATCAAGGCCGGCACACCGCCCCTGCGGCCGCGTGACCGGTTCCCGACGGCTCGTCCACGCAGCGGCAGGGGCGCCGCGGGAGAGGCACTCCTAATCTCCCATTCTCTCCTCTGCCCCCCTCCGCTCGGGGGCACTGATCTAAGACGCGGAATGCCGGGGGTTCAAATCCCTGCTCCGCCACGCACCAGCTGCGGGCCCCTGAGGGAGATGGGGCCTTGGCCGCTCCATCTGTGAAATGGGTACAACCCCGGCAGCTCTCTGAGCTCCTGGCCCCTCACCTTCAGGGCTTTGCTTAAACGGGCACCTGCTTTAGTCTCTGCATAGTATGAAAACGTGTGCATGGACTTCTATATATATATATACATGCACCAAAACAAACTTACTCTCTCCTTTTGTTTCGTCTTGTATTTGAGAGCGAGAGCGCTCCCGTGCACTGGTTCATTGCCCAAATGCCTGCCGTGGGCCAGGGTGGAGCCAGGAGCCAGGAGCTCCATCCAGGCCTCCCACGTTGGTCGCAGGGACCCAAGGACTTGAGCCAGCACCTGCTGCCTCCAGGGGTCTGGATAAGCAGGGAGCGGGGACTCGAACCCACGCACTCCGATGTGGGAGTTTGGCTGAGCTACTCGGTCCAACACCCAACAACACATACACTCCGGGCTTTTTGAAGCAGCCTTGTACAAGTTGCTCAAGGAATCCGGGTGGAATTTGGGCAGAGGGGTGGGACGGGCAAGTGGGAAGGGGAGGGGGAGGGGGGATCGGGCCGGCCCCCGTGCTCACCCTTGGCGGCCGTGAGCATGGTGGAGGCCAGCTCGCACTGGCGCGTCTCCAGGTGGCCCAGGATGAACCAGCGGGGGAAGCGGCTGCTGTCGGTGGAGTCCAGCGGGGTGGGGTGAGGCTCTCCAGCTGCGAACGCCGTGTCCAGCACGGGCAGCCTGGGGTGAGAGAGCAGAAACAGGGCCCGCGCTGGGCAGGGGGCTGCCGGCCCTGCGGGGTCTCCTGTCCCAGCCTGAGCCTGCCCCCCGCATGTGCGAGATGTCCACTGCTGTGTTGTTTACAGCAAGGGGACGGGACACGGTTCCGATGCCCATTTCCGGTACCCCAGGGGCTTGATGACCGCTGTCCCCATCAGTCCCCTCCAATGGCTATCCTCCTGCTCCCTCTGTTTCTCCCAAGCGCACCCATGCAGTCCTGCCCCAGGGCCTTTGCACGGGCTCTCAGCCTGGAAAGGCCTTCCCAAGGTGTGCTCCCTCCGATTTTTGGCCACATACGTACTTTTGAAATTTTTATTTATTTTCATTTTACTTAAATGGCAGACACACACAGAGAGGAAACGCGGGAGATTGGTTTCCACCCTCGGGTCACCCCACAAACACCTTCAACGGCTGGAGGGAAGACCCCTCTCTGTCTCTCCCTCCCTCCCTGTCACCCTTTCAATAAATAAAACCTCACACAAAGCCACACATCTTTCTATTTAACAGCAGAACGCGCTCAGGAGCACTGAATGCCGAGGTGAGAGCGTGTGTGACCCAGGCTGTGCGTCCAGGCTGCAGGCTGGGGCTCTGACCCCGGCTCCCAGCGTCCCCTCCTCCACCCCCGGCCCACCCGTGCTCACCTCATGGCTCGCAGCGCCAGGCGATAGGCCAGCTCGGGGTCATGAGACAGCAGGGCGGTGAACAGGTAGCGGGCGCAGGTGTGCATGGGCACGCTCTCGCCGAGTAGCACCTCTCCAAAGCCGCTAAAGGGACCCCCTGCGAGAGACAGACAGCCTGGGGCTCGGCTCCCCGCTGTGCCGAGCGGTCCCTGGGGACCCCAAAGGAGAGACCCCGGGCACCCCTGGGTGCAGACGGGCCTGAGCTGGGTGGAGCTGCGGCCGCCCAGGCCCCCGGGAGCGAGGTGATTGGCCCAAGACCAGTAAGGAGTGCGGCCAGGATGGAGCAGGACCGAGCCCTTCTCTAGGGGTGTGGCCTCACAGCACAAGGACCAATAGGCGGAGGCCATGGGCGGAGCAGGGTGGAGCTGCCATTGAGGTTGGGGGCGTGACCTCCCCGCCCTGTCCCAGCGACTTGCGTCATTGGCTGCAAGGCGGGCAGGGGCGGGGCCTCCCCATTCGCAGCCCCACAGCTGCCTAGCAACTGCTGGACCTGCCAAGGCCTGATTGGTCGGGAGAGGCGGGGCTTGGGGTGGGCGGGGCGCTCACCCTCCAGCAGCAGCCCCGCCTGCTTGCGCAGCACCTGCACGAGCCGCTCGTCCAAGTCCACCTGGTCCAGGAGGGCGAGCAGCTGCTCCTCGTTGCGCACCACCTTGTCCTGGGCGTACAGCCCCTCGGGCAGGGCGCGCTGCTGCCCCAGCCCCAGCAGGGCCACCTCCAGCGCCAGCGCCAGGTACGACTCCCCGGGGCTCCCGGGCACGGGCACGTGCTGGTAGGCCACCTTCCGCTTCTCGGAGCCTGGGTCTGGGGGAGACGGGACCCGCGCTGCGGGAGGCCGGCCTGCTGCACCCCAGCCTGGGGGGGGGCCTGGGGAAGAGGCTGGCGCCACCGTCTAGGCTGGAAGGGCCGGGGGGCGCGATCGAGGGGAGTGGGGTACCTGGGTAGAGGGCCAGTGTCTCCTCCTCCAGGCAGGAGGCCTCTAGGAGCGCCCTGCAGAGGCAGCCAATGGGGTCCAGGGGGTGGCCCACCCAGCCTTCCGCGTTGGTGATGCAGGTAGCCCCTTTCTGCAGCAGCTCTGCGGGCGGGGCAAGAGGGCGGGGGGGGTACTTCCTCTGCGGGGGGCGGGGCGGGGACCCTCAGCCCCCTTCCCCTCCCCAGAGCCCGGCGGCAGTCGGTGGCGGCTGCGCCACAGCGCCCCCTGCCGGCGGCCCCGGGAACTGCCAGTTCCCCTTTTCCCGCAGGAGACACCTGCTGCCCAGGGGGCGCCCCCCACCCCGCGCCCACCTTTCTTCTGCTGCTTGTAGCTGTCCAGCTGCTGTCTCCGCTGCATTCGCAGCGTGTTGACAATGGCCCCTGCCAGTCGAAGGGCCTGCCGGGGGTAGCCGTGGGCTCGCAGGGTGTCCACCCGGGCGCAGGCCGTGGGGAAAGGTTCACCCAGCCAGAGGGGGCGGCCCTGGGGGTCGAAGGCCAGCCTCTCGGCCCCCACGCTGCCCGTGAGGCTGGGGCCGTAAGAGTCGCTGGCCAGGATCCTCTGCAAGTGGCCGTCACCCCAGTGTAGCCGCCCAGCCTGCAGGGCGCGGCAAAACACTGTGTGGCGGGGAGTTGCAGCTGCTTCCTCCTCCTCCTCCTCCTCCTCCTTGGAGCCTGCGGGGGAGGCGCCCAATGTGGCCCAGTGAGGGGGCCCTAGCCCTGGAGCTGGGGCCAGCTCCCCTCCACCCTGGGCAGAGTGCTTGGTGTTAAGTCACCTCCCCAATCCCTCGTGCAGGCCTTCCAGGGCATGTGTAACAACCCATTATATGGATGGAAAACTGAGGCCTCCCCCCCCCCGCCCATCCCTCTGCCTGTCTCTCGGTCTTCTCGACCTCTCCCTTTCCTGTTTGGTGCCCCCTGTCCCTTTCCCTCTCTCTCATCCCCTCTCCACCTCCATAGCTAGTCAGAGCCTGAAGACAAAGCTGACAAAGCTCACCGTCCCAGAGGGCTGCCACTGCCCCTGCCCTCGGCATACACTCCCTCCTTTAGTCTCTGAATGGCTGAGTGCCATGAAGGGCAGGCTCCTAAGTCAGTGTGTGTGGGGACGGGGCTGGGGAAGGGGTGGTGAAGGCAGGGACCCCTCTGCTACCTGGGCCGGGGGCTGCGGTGGGCTGCAGGCTGGGGCCGTCGAAGGAGTAGTTGCCTTCTTCCAGGGGGCACAAGTCCAGCTTGTCCCACGTGCTGAGTAGCTGCAGCCAGCCCTCCCGCTCCTCGGGCTTGCAGTGGGGGCTCAGGACCACGCAGACCCACAGGGCCCCTGGGGAGGCAGCGGGGAGGCACAGCATGGATGCCGGCCCCGCTGTGCCCTTCTGAGCGCACAGCCTCAATGGCTACCGGGCATCCCTGTATCGGGCATTAGATGCTCGAGATGATGTAGGACCACGTGGGACGCCTGCGCCCCCTAGCGGGCTGTCTGGGATGGAGCGCCTGCCTCTGCTTCTCAGGGGGCTTCCTGCGCATGCGCACCCTGGGAGGCCGCAGGTGCAGGCTTTGTCAAGGGCTGGGGGGTGGGGGGAGCCCCGAGATGCAGCTCCAGCCTCCGAGGTTTAGGTCTCCCGTTCTCGCTTCCACGCATACAGCATACAGCAGGTGCCTAATAAATGCACGAGCCGCGAGCGACACCCCCCACCGCCCCCTTCCGCCTCCGAGGGCGGGCTTACCCAGCTCGTCCCACAGCTGCCGGCACTTGTCCGTCATGCCGGCGCCCTGCTGCCGCCACAGGGCCAGGCGCGGGTCCTGCAGAAACTGCTCGGTCATGAGGATCAGCATCCGGGCCCCGTTGGAGTCTCGCATCCGCAGCATCTCGCGCACCTGCCGCCAGGTGGAGGGGGGCGGGCGGGTGAGCGAGGGGCGGGCGCCGGCGGCCTCTCGGCCCCGCCCCGCCCCGCCCCCGCCACGCCCAGCACCTTGCCGAACATGGAGCGCAGCTGCTGGCTGGCCCCGTAGTAGCCGCCGTTGGCCAACAGCTGCTTCACCTGCTCCTGGATCTGCTCCTCGTCCAGGTGCCAGCAGTTGGCGTCTTCGATGCCCGCGCCCGCCGTGGGGTCGGGGGCGCCTGGCGGGATTGGGAGAGCTGAGGCCCGTGGGGCTCCGGGCTTAGGCCCCACAGCCCTATGGTCATGGTACGAAGCGAGGGGAGAGGGGGCCCCCGGGAAGCAGCCCCACCCTCAGTGTCTACACAGCCATCCGGATTGTGTGGCTGAGCGCTGGGGGTCTCCCCGGGGACCCCCTTACCGTGCACCAGGTTGATCTCAGAGCCCAGCAGCAGGATCTCGTCGGCCAGGCGCTGGGCGGTGGGCAGCACCTCGGTGTGGTGGGCGCTGATGAGATACTGCACGAACTTCTGCAGCTGGTCCCGGTTCATCCGCGACAGCGTCTCGGAGATGGGCAGCCGCAGCTCCACCTGCCGGGCGTGGCGGATGCGGTGCAGCGACAGCGCCACCACGTGGGCGCAGTAGAAGAGGTCGCGCCTGTCGCAGCCGCAGCTCACCGCCGTGATCTTGCAACGGTCGAAGCTGATGGACACGTGGTAGAGGCGCTCGGGCTCCCCGGGGCCCCCCGGCTCCCGCACGTTGCCGCTCAGGTGGAAGCCTGCGGGAGCAGCGGGGCGTGGCTGTCACCCCAAGGCCCCTCCGCCTGGTTGGGCAGCGGGGGCACAGCCCATGTCAGGCACGGATGCTTCCTCCTGAGTGCAGGAGGTGGCCGGGGCGGGGAGGGGGCGCTGTGAAGTCTCAGCCACTAAGGGGCTCCAAGGCTGCCAAGGCCCAGCTGGGAGGCGTGGCCTGCGCCCCGGGGTGGGGGGGGGTCTGAGTCCCCTGGCCGGAGCCCCGCCTCGTCTCCTTCCGTCGTGTTGGGAGGTCTGAAGCTCCTCTCTTCCAGGTCTTTTTAAACATGACGTGGGCGTCTGGCCAATCGGTTACGATGCCCGCATCCCACATTGGAGGGCCCTGGGTTCAAGTCCCAACTCTGGCTCTGGACTCCAGCTCCCTGCTCTAAACCTCCGGCCTCCACGTGGAACCTGCAGGCTGTCTCCTTCCCGCCCCCAGCTCAGCTGTCCTGAGGTCCAGGATCTCGGATGTACCCTTCACCTCGCCGCTCCTGATGGTGACCCCTGGGCGGGGCAGAAGCCGGCGGTGGTCTGCTGCTTCCACCTGGGCTGCAGGCTTAGCGTTCACCGCTCACCTGGGCTCTGCTGCCTACATGCTGGGGGCCCCGAGATGGAGATAGGCCCCGCCTCCATTGAAGCTCTTCCCCCAGCTCCTCCTCCATCCAAGACTGAGATGGCGATAGGCCCTGCCCCCTCAACCCAGCCCCGCCCCCACTCAAGCTCCTCCCCTAGCCCGACCTCCACCCATGCTTGAGAAGTAGTCTCCGCCTCTCCCAAACCCTGCCTCCACCCCAGCATGAGATGTAGATAGGCCCCCCCTCGCTCCCTCTACCCAAGCCTGAGACATATATAGGCCCCGCCCACCCATGCCTGAGAGGTTGGCAGCCCCGCCTCCATCCAAGCCTGAGATGCAGATAGGCCCCACCCACCCACAAGCCCCGCCTCCATTCAAGCTCCTCCCCAGCCCCACCTCCACCCATGCCTGAGAAGTAGCCAGGCCCCGCCCCCCTCCGCAGCCCTGCCTCCACCCATGCCTGAGAGGTAGGCAGGCCCCGCCCCTCCTCCTCAGCCCCGCCTCCACCCATGCCTGAGAGGTAGGCAGGCCCCGCCCCTCCTCCTCAGCCCCGTCTCCACCCATGCCTGAGAAGTAGCCAGGCCCCACCCCCCTCCCCAGCCCCGCCTCCACCCTTGCCTGAGCCGAGCCAGGCCCCGCCCCCGCACTCACCCACTTGCAGCACGCGGTCCACCGCCCCGCTCTGGAGCAGGTGCAGCCCGCGGGTGAAGGGCACGCGGGCGTCCGGCTCGCCCTCCGGGGGCTGGCAGCCGAGCGACGAGTACATGCATATCTCCCGCTCGCTGCGCGGAAATGACCAGAACACGATGCGCTTCTGCACGGGCTCGGGCACTCGAGAGAACCGCTCCTCCACCTGCGGGGAGAGCCATGGGCTTAGGGACTGCGCGGGCTTGGATGCCGGCCTGGGGCGTTTCCGGGCCCCGCTGAGCCCCGGGGTCCAAGGGGGGACGCTAACAGCAACGCCGCCTCCTGGGGGCCGCCAAGGTTCAATCCGCAGGGGCAGGGGCACAGAGGGTTAAGGAGTCGCCTGCGAGGCCGCTGGCATCTGATTCAAGCGCCGGTCCGAGTCCCGGCTGCTCCACTTCTGCTCCAGCCTCCTGCTCATGCACCTGGGAGAGCAGCAGGTGCTGGCTCAAGGGCTTGGGCCCCTGTCCCCCCCATGTGGGAGACCCGGATGGAGCTCCCGGCTGTTGCAGCCATGCGTGTGTGGGGGCAGTGAACCAGCAGATGGAAGATCTCTCTCTAACTCTTCCAAATATATATATATATATATATATATATATATATATATATATATATAGACAGGCAGAGTGGACAGTGAGAGAGAGAGAAAGGTCTTCCTTTTCCATTGGTTCACCCTCCAATGGCCGCTGCGGCCGGCGCACCGCGCTGATCCGAAGGCAGGAGCCAGGTGCTTCTCCCGGTCTCCCATGCGGGTGCAGGGCCCAAGCACTTGGGCCATCCTCCACTGCACTCCCGGGCCACAGCAGAGAGCTGGACTGGAAGAGGGGCAACCGGGACAGAATCTGGCGCCCCGACCGGGACTAGAACCCGGTGTGCCGGCACCGCAGGAGGAGGATTAGCCAAGTGAGTCGCGGCACCAGCCAAATAAATATATTTTTAAAAAAAGATAAAATATGCATTCATGTGTGTAAAGGGCAATGGTGACATATGACCCGTCATCAGCATTCTAGAACTTTCTGGAGATGTTGAACACCAGTTTATCCAGTGAGTTGATGCTAAATACCTTCCCTATTTCTAAAGATTTATTTGCAAGGCAGAGTGAGAGAGAGGGAGGGAGGGAGAGAACTTCCACCCAAGGCTTCATTCCCCACAATAGCCAGGAACCTGGCGCTCCATCCGGGTCGTGGAAGGCAGGGCTCCAGATACTGGGGCCATCATCCACCGCTTTCCCAGGCACATCAGCAGGGAGTTGGATCAGAAGTGGAGCAGCCGGGACTCGGGCGCCCACCATACGGGATGCAGGCAGTGGCTTTTCCGTACTTTACAGTCAGGGAGCATCTGAGGCTCCCAAGGGAGGTGCGTTTACTTTGTCAGGGTCCCAGAGCTGCTGGGCTCCCAGGAGAGCAGGGCCGCCTGCCCCCCCCCTCCCGCCGCGGGCTCCCAGCAATGAGGGGAGCAGGCGGAGCCGGCGTGCCAATCCGCGTTTGTTCTTCCCTGGGCTGGGTGATCTTGGGCAGGTCCCTCAGCCTCTCTGTGCCCAAGTTTGCTCACACGGCTCCTGGAGCGTCATGGAGGCTGCCCGGGCGCCACTCGCCCCCAGCCTGGCCGCGACAGGTGCCTGAGCGCCTCCAAGGTGGTTGTAGGATTATCCTACGTGTCTCCCACCCCACGGACGGGCAGGGCTCGCTTTGGCCCCCATCCGCCTAGCTGCCTGGCCCAGGCCTCAGGGACGGCCGGCTGATGACTAAGGAGGGATTTTCCGGTCTGTGAATCAGAGCCGGTCCCATCCACAACCGGCCCCAGCCCCTTCGTCCTAACTCCACAGTGGGCAGAGAACCCCCCCCCCCCCGCCAACAGCCGCGGAAGTCGGTCAGTGGATGCCCAGAGCTTTTTTTTTGGGGGGGGGGGCTGTGTACAGCTCTGTGGGCTCCAGGCTTCTGGACCGTCCATGCAGGGGCCTGTGGAGAGAGCTCCGAGGGCCTCAGCCCTGGGGTGTTCCGGCAGTGCCCCCAAGAAGCTCCAGAGGCGGGGCTCAGGTGCACCTGTGCAGGTACCACCGCCCAGGCCCCGCCCCCGCCTGCCCCTGACTTTGGGCAAAGAGTGGGGTGGGTGAAAGGAGGGGGGAACGAGCGGGGGGGGGTGGCAGGGTGATTTTGCAGGTGGCAGGACAGAGACAGGGGGGGCAGAAAGAGGGTGTCCTAAGCCCGGGATCCAGACAGATGGCGGAGGCATCCTCTCCTGGGGTGTAGGGCAGAGGAGTGGGGGTTATGGGGTGTACCCCAGTGGGGGCCCCAGCTTGTGGGAGGGGGGCTGGGGTCAAGGGGCTTGAGGGACAGCAATGAGATGAGGGCGGGTTAAAGGTCTCAGGGGTGTCTCCGATGGGGGCTGAGAGTGCCACCCTCCCCTGTCCTCCTCCCACGCCCCCCTCCTCCGGTCACCTGCTCGAAGGCCCAGCTCTCGGCCACTCGTTTGGCGCTGAGGTCCAGCAGCGTCTCGGGCCTGCCGCGGCCGCGCGCAGCTCCGGCCCCGGCCTCGCGCTCCTCCGGTCCCGCGGGGCAGCCCCGGCTGCGCTTGGCCGCGGGGGGGTCCATCCGGCCGGGGCCGGAGCGGGGTGCGGAGGGGGGGTCGAGTAGATGCCCGCTCTGCTCCCGCCGGCTCCCGCGACCCCTGCCCGCCTTCCGGCTCTCGCTCGGCGCTCGGTCGCCCCGGAACCCCCGCCGCACCCACCCCGCGCCCCGCGCAGGGCCGGCCGGGTGATGCGGCCCCTTTAAGACTTGTTCACAACAATGAAGCTGCCTCGGCCGCCGCTTTATCCTGCGCCGTCGGCCCGCCCTAGTCGCCCGTCCCCATTGGAACCCCCCTCGGCCTCCGCGACCCTCCCCGGCTATTGGCTGCACCGCCAGCCCCGTCTCCGAGCTTTCCTCTGCTCATTGGGTGACTGCAACGCCAGTCTCCTCGGGCCCAGCCAATCACAGGGCGGAGCGAGCAGCGCTGTCCGTCACCTAGGGCCGCCGGCCAATCAGGGCGGGAGAACCCCCGCGGCGCAGGCCGTCTGCGGAGTTTCGGGGCGGGCCCTGGGTTCATTCACAACATTCCTCCCCCGCCCCGCTCCGGCTGCGCTGCGCGCCCCGGGGCTGCTGGGGCTGCGCCCACACTCGGCTTTGTTGACCAAGGGTCGCTTCCGGGGGCCGGGCCGGCGGGGTCCCAGGACAGCGCTGGGCCCCACCTCCCTTCGGCGCTGTGCGACCCGAGGAAACTCGCCCAGCCTCTCTGGGGGGCGCAGTGGCAAGCTTCCCGGTGGGGGCTGCAGAACTGGAGCTCAGTTGGGGGGTTCGGAGCCCCAGGCCTCGAGCCTCCCCCCAGGACTCCTACTGTCCCCTTGACAGCACCTAAAATCGTTGATTCTCGAACCCGGAGCCCCCCCGGGGGGGGCTGCTCTGACTCAGCTCGGCCTGGCCACGGCCCTCCCCAAACACCCCGTGTCCTCAGAGAACCCTGCGACTTCCTGTCCGCTGGCCAGCCCTGGCGGCTGTTTAGTCTCTGCCTCCTCTCCCCCGGACGACGTCCGGCTCACGGATGCCAGCAGCAGCCGGTATACAGCAGGCGCTCCATCAGTTAGTTGTGGGATGGACCCACGCCACCTCCACCCAGCTGGAATGATTGACGGAGCCAGAGAACCCCAGCGGCTGGCTTCCCCCCGGTGCCCAGTGATCATTTTCTGGCCGGGACCCCCGATCTGCCTCTCCCGGAACCCCCACTCCCAGCCTGTGCCGTGCTCGGGGTTACCCCCACCCCCAGCCCAGCCCTGGAAGTGGGGTCGGCTCAGGGTGGGTTTCCGAGACCCGGCAGGGGACACGCAAGTCAGGGGCAGCCTGCGACACCAGCACCTTCATAGCGGAGCTCCGGGTTCGAGTCCCGGCTGCTCCACTCCCCATCCAGCTCCCCCAGCTAAGGCGCCTGGGACAGCAGTGGAAGATGGCCCGAGTGCCTGGACCCTGCACCTGCGTGGGAGACCCGGCTGGAGCTCCAGACTTCAGCTGGCCCATCCCTGGCTGTTTGCAGCCATTTGGGGAGTGAACCAGCAGGTGGAAGACCTCTCTCTCTGTGCAACTCTGCCTTTCAAATAAATAACTCTAGGGGGCTTGTGTTGTAACCCTCCTGGGCAGTGCTGGTCCCTCGGAGAGCCCTCGCCTGCTGTGAACTTAGGACAGGGACGCGGCACCCAGGGCTGGGGCGGTCCAGGTGCGCGGCCGAGGTTCCGCCTCCGGGCGGCGCTGTGCACGGAGGGCGCGTGGTGAGCGTCGCCTCCACAGCTCCTGGACCTGCGCCTGGTCGGGCTGAGCCACTCCCCCCTGGCTGCCCAGCAGGAAGAGCCGGACTGGTGGGGCCGGGCCTGCCCGGGAGCCCCCAGCTTACCGACGCCGCTCTTCCTTGCCAAAACCGAGCTGGGAGCTTAGAGAGACTTGAGGGGCTGCAGAAACTGGGGTACCTTGGGAAGAGGCCCGGGGAGGCCCAGCTGCGGGCCCCACCCCCTACTGCTCATATGTGTGGCTGTAGGCGCATGCTGCGCCCCTGGGTGTCCCCTGAGAGGCGGAAGAGCAATGCGGGTAGCAGAGAAACATGGGGGGCTGGGCTGGGGGGCCTGTCCTATTCCCAGCAGAACGTTCCGGAAAGGGGCGTGGCCGCCTGCTTCCTCCCTAGCTGCAGCCCCGGGTGAGCTCACGGTCTAGGCATTCGAAGCTTCTGACCCCAAACCCACGTGGGAAACGCCGCGGTGAGCCGGGGGCCAGACCCCCGGCTTTCACTGGCCAGCCTGCGTGCGCGCGCCGGCGGGCGGCGGCGCGCTCTCCCTCCCTTCCGCCACCCCCTGCCCCGCGCAGTCGGGGCAATTGGCTTCCTAAGGTTTCTCCCTTCCGGAGCGCACAGCGTTCGGAGACATGGCCTAGGGATCCCTGGGAGCCTGGGGTCCTGACCGGTGGCTGAGCTGGGGTGGGGTGGGGGTCCTGTCACCAGGACACAGGGCCAGCTCGCAGTCCGTTGGTTGCCTGCCTTGCCCACGCTGAGGGTCTGTGTTCCCATCTCAGATTGATAGAGTGAGGCTCTGAGGTGACCTGAGGTTACTAAGGGCCACAGGAGGTGGCGCAGCCTGGGGGGGCTCTTGGCTCCGTGCCTCACGAGGGTGGGGGTTGGAGGAATGGGCAGGGGGCGGGGCCTAACCCAGGAAGTGCGGGTAAATGAGGCCGGCCTAGGGAGACCGCCCCCCCACCCAGAGCTCCCCAAAGCCTTTCCTTGCCTCTGGGGTGGTCGTCCAGGGGGCTTGCCCTGAGCGCCCCCTCCCCCCCAGAGAGGAAGAGACAGAGAAGTCTCACGAGCGACTGCGACCCACATGGGGGTCAGCGCCTTCATGGAGCGCATCGGGCAGCTGCAGGGAGGGCTGGAAGTGTGAGTGTGGGGTCCTCGGGCCCCAGGCCTGGCAGGCCCCCGTGCGCTGAGTCTGGAATCGCTCTGTCCGGGCGCCCGGCTGTTCACGCCTCGTGCAGGCTCGGGGCCGGGTAAGGGGGTGCGGCGCGGAGAAGGCCCTGGGGACCCCAGCTCACGCCAAGGGACACATGACAAAGCCAGTAGGGCTGTGAGAACTGGGCACACAGGCCAGGCGCGGCAGGCTTCCTGGAGGAGGTGTCGCGGGGGAGGCAGGCGCCCAAGGACTTGAGCCCCCACCTGCCACCTCCCAGGGGATAGCGTCCTAACAGATGCCAGCCCGGGTCTCAGTTAGCTCAGAGGCTGCGTGGGCGGGGGCCCGGGAGGCCCCAGGGCACCCGCTGTCACCATTTTGGAGTCTGGAGATGCGCATGCGCACCCTGGCAGGCAGCAGGTGCAGGCTCTGGAGCCGCGCTGAGGCCAGGCAGGCAGAGACGCGGTGGCCACCACTGATGTCACCCGTGTCTCCGGGTGCAGCGATCCCACCCCCTCACTCAGAGCTGGGTGGGGGGCTCCCAGGGCAGCATGCGCACACAGGAAGGAGGCGTGGCCTGGCAGCGGGGGTGGGGCGCGCAAAGCACTGGACCGGCGGGCGCTCAGACAACCCCGGGAGCCAGGGACGGGAGCGCAGGGCCTTTGCTTTATTGTTGGGGGGTGGGGGGACAAGGGCAGCGCGCGCAGGCCGCGGGGGCTCTCAAGACGGCGCCCCCTTCTTCTTGGCCGGCGCTGTCAGCAGCGCCAGCCTCTTGGGGAGACTGCTGCTGGCTTTCAGCACCACGTCGTGCTCGATCTTCTTCCGGATCCCCACTTCCAGCTCCTGCGGACGCGAGCACAGAGCCATGGGCCCGGGACCCCACCCCGCCCCGCCGGCATCCCCACAGCACCTTGGTTCGAGTCCCGCCTGCTCCGCTTCCCACCCAGTGCCCTGCGCGTGCACCTGGGAGGCAGCAGGTGACGGCCCGAGTGTGCTGGGGCCCCTGCCGCCCACGGGGGAGGCTCGGATGGGGCTCCTGGTCGGCTCTGGCCAATGTGGGCATTTGGGGACAGACCCGCGCGTGGAAGACCCCTCGGGCGCTCACGGGCGCTCTCTGGCGGCCGCGACAGGCAGGCCCGGCTCCGATCCCACCGACCCCAGGGCTGCCCTCTCCCGGCTCCTCCGTGGGCTCAGCGCCCCGCTGGGGCCGGGGACGGACGGCTGGCTCCCCGTGGGCTCAGCGCTGAGAGCCGCCAGCTCCCAGAGCTGCAGTTCCCGCAACGCCTCTCCCGGGCAGCACCCACGGCCCAGGGCGGCCGGCGCGGTTCCTGTACCCACTGCCCGGAGCCCCACGCTCCGCCCCCGGGCTCCCCGGAGTCCCCCTCAGCTGCCCTCTCACCTTCTTGACTTTCTGCTGCTGCACGATGCGCGCTTTCTTGGGGGCGATAACCCGGCCTGGTGGGGAGGAGACGCGGGCGCATGAAGCCGGGGGTCCATGGGTAGGCCCAACACCTCGCCCGCCCCGCCGCCCTCGGCCCGCTCCTCACCGCCTTTCCGCGGGCCCCGGGCGCGCTCCGCGGCCTTCGCCGCCGCCTTGCTCTTCGCCGGCTTCTGTGCCTGGAACTTACGCTGCCCCTGCGCCATGATGGCGGAAGGCAGCCGGAAGGGGCGGGGCTTCTGCGACCCCGGAAGGCGCAGGGCACTCCGGGATATAGTGAGGTGCGGAAGAGCGCAAGGCCTCACGGGATACAGCGGGGCAAGAACCTTAAAGGGCCAGCACCGCACCGGCTCACCCGTAGCCAGGCCGTTGTTAAAAGCTATCCCTTGCTGGGCATTTCTGTGATTTATCAAACACGGTTGTCTGCTCCAGGGAGAAGTGGGGGAAGGGGAGAGGCAGCACCAATCGAACCTAGAGTCGGAGGGAGGCAGGCATAGCCGATCGAACCAGAGAGAGTGCGTTTTTAATAAAATTGATTTTTTCATTTATTTACTGCGGCGGGGGCTCGGCTAGAGTGGGGGTGGAGCTCAGGGCGGTGCGCAACTGCGCAGGCGCGAAGACGCCCAGCTCCGTGACGATGCCGCCCGTAATGAGCTCGTGCGGGGTGACGTCGAAGGCGGGGTTCCAGACGGCGACCCCTGCGGAGAGGGGGAGACGTCCAGAGAAGCCGCCAGACCCGGCCCTGCTACCCGCGGGGAGACCCGGGGCGCTGCCACCCGCTGGGAGACCCGGAGGCCCCGCCACCCGCGGGGAGACCCGGGCCCTGCGCCCTGCTTACCGGGCGCCGCGACTCGGACGCCACACCAGTCGGTCAGCTCCTGGCCCGGGCGCTCCTCAATTTCGATGTCCCCGCCGGACTCCAGCCCCAGGTCACAGGAGCAGCTGGGGGCGGCCACGTAGAAGGGGATCCCGTGGTGCTTGGCGGCGATGGCCAGCTGGTAGGTGCCCACCTTGTTGGCCGTGTCGCCGTTGGCCACCACGCGGTCGGCTCCCACGACGACGGCTGCGGGGGCGCGGGGAAGGGTTGCCAGGGGCCAGCGGAGAGCAGCCCTGGCCGCTCGGCCCCGTCCACCGGACACGCCCCCGCGGGATGGAGCCCCACCCCTCCAGCTGGCCCCCGCCCGCCAGGCACGCCCCCGAGGGAATGGAGCCCCGCCCACTGGACACGCCCTGCTGGAATGGAACCCCGCCCACCTGACACGCCCCCGCGGGCCATGGCAGCCGCCGCCGCGCTGTCGGTGATGAGCGTGGCGGGGATGCGCTCGTGGACCAGCTCGAAGGCCGTCAGCCGCGCCCCCTGGTTGTAGGGCCGGGTCTCCGTGCAGAAGGCGCGCTCCAGGCGGCCCAGGCTGTGCAGCGAGCGGATCACGCCTGCAGGGGCCGTGGCCGGGGTCAGGGCTGCGCGCCTGGGCTGCGGCTTCTCGCCAACCCAGCCCGGGCTCCCTCACGCCTGCATGGCCACCTCCCCCAGGAAGTCTTCCCTGGTTCCTCCACCTCACCCTGCAACCCGCACCCCTCCGATCCCTTTGGCTCCCGGCTCCTGCCCGCGCCCCCACTCACCCAGGGCCGTGCCGTAGCCAGCCGTGGCCAGCGCCCCGGTGTTGCAGTGGGTCAACACGGTCACCTTGCCGCCCTCGGGGGCCGCCCGCTCCAGCAGGTGGCGGGCTCCCAGGTCACCGATGCGCCGGTTGTCTCGGAGGTCTCTGTCCAGCATGTCCTCGGCGTAGCGGATCACTCTGGGGCCGAGAAGGCGCGTGAGCCAGCCAGGTGGCCGGCTCCCTCCTCTCTGACCATGGCTGCTCTTCCCGGGGTCGGGGGAGCCTCCTTGTGTGTGTGCCCAGTGCAGCAGGCACAGGGTCTTCTGCCTCCTAGGGGGCTGGCCGGTGATGAGCAGACCATAGAATGAGGTGGAAAGGAGGTGGAATCCATCCCAGAAGGGGACAGCGACCTGCAGCCGAGGCGTGTGCAAAGGCCCTGGGGCAGGAGCCAAGGAAGGCGGTGGGGGAACTGCACGGCCTGCAGCGTGAGGGAGGAGGCAGACAGAGGGGCAGCGGAAAGGTGACGAAAGTCCTCAAAAGCAAGACCCAGAGAACCCAGGAACAGGAGAAGGCCGGCTAGAGCTCACGGGAGGCAACTTAAGGCATTGACTGCAAGGGTCCTGGGGTCGCCTCCCAGCCCGGCCGTTGGGACCTTGGCCAAGGGCTTTCAATTGCGCCGGGCCTCAATTTCCCCATCTGTAAAACGGGTCGCCGTGCATTACAAAGAAAACTACCCCGCTCCCCACGCACGAAGTTAACAGCCGCTGCTGCGCGCCCCAGGCCACCACCGTACCTCTCCCGGACCGCCTCCTCCGTGGCGCCCTCCTGCTCGGCCTCGCGGGCCGCGGCGTCCGCCAGGTCGCGCGCGGCGCGGGCCATGTTGACGGCGGTGGGCCGGGCGGTGACGAGGTAGCGGAGCTGTTCACGCACGAAGTCCACGAGTGCAGCGAGCCCCGGGCCCCCCGCGCCTGCCTGCAGCTCCACGGCCAGGCTGAGGCAGCCCACGAGGGCGATGGCCGGGGCGCCGCGCACCTGCAGGGGACGGACCGCCCGGGTCAGGGGGCGGCAGGCTCGGGGGACCCCCGCCGCGCACACCCCGGCCCCGCGCTCCGCTCCTCCGCGCGCTCCACGTCCCGCGCACCCCGGGCCCCCGCCCCACCTTCATGGCGCGGATGGCCTCCCAGGCCTGGCGCACCGACTCCACCGCCTCGTAGCGGCTCTGCTCGGGCAGCAGCAGCTGGTCGAGGATCTGCAGTGAGCCCCTGGAGTAGCGAATCGCCTCCAACGCCATGGCTCGGCCGCCGTGCTCACTTGCGCGCCACGGCGCATGCGCGGGGCGAGGGGGGTTAGGCCGGTAGGCGGGGCAATTCCACCGCGAGAAAGGCGCATGCGCAGCCGGCAGCTGGGCTGCCACCGTGCTTACCTGCGCGTCAGGGCGCGTGCGCGAGGCCTCCGCCAGCGGCTAGGAGGGTGGGCGGGGCGAAAGCGCATGCGCACAGCGGGTTCCCAAACCAGTTCCACCTCCCAGGACCTTCGTCCAACTCAGAACCACGACCCAGGCCGCTTTTATTTTTTAGGGAGTAGGGGGAGGGTGGACACACGTAGGGCCGCGGCATTGCCCCCAAATCCTACAAGGCAACCAACAGGCTCCAGGCTTGCCTAGCCGGGTGTGCGCCTTGGACTGAACCGGCACCCCCCCACCCCGCGGGGGCAGAGCGGCCACGGGGCTCCCACCTGCCAGAGGCGAGAGGGGTTGGTCAGGCCGGATTCCAGATCCCGCAGGACCCTGGGCCCATGAGGGCGGGGCTCCGTCGGCCACGGTGTCCCCCAGTCCGTGCCTGGCGAAAGCTCCACCGCCGAGGCTGGGCCATGCGTCCCTCCAGCCCCGGGCTGGGGATGACCGGCCAGGCCACACCGGCATGGGTGCATCCTGGGCGTCCCCCCCGCCCCGTGCCGCCGCCTCCAGGACGCCCGCCTGGAGTCCCAGGCCCATCAAGTAACCCGAGGCAGGGGGCAAAGACACAGGGCTTTAATGTGAGGGTCCCCCAGGCGCCCCCAGAGCAGCCCGCAAGGCCGACGGTGCACCCACCCACCCACTCAGTCACTCACTCTCGGAGCCCGAGTAGTCGGCCACGAGGGAAGAGCTGAGGCTGCGGGGGCGTGGCGGCTCGGGCTGGGGGCTGGGGGCCGCCTCCCGGGCCAGACCCTCAGCGCCCCCAGTCTTGGGGCTCTCAGCAGTCTCCTGAGGACAGTCTCGGGCGCCCGCGGGCCCGTCCTGAGCCGCCCCCCGCGGCTCCCCGGTCTTGGGGGTCTCGGCCGCGGGCTGGGGGCTCCTGGGCACGTCCCGCGACCTCCGCCGCACGATGCCCAGGTCCTCCACGGTGATGGCGGCGGGCGCGGGCCTGCGGCTCTGGGCCAGCTTCCTGAGGACACTGCTGGCCTTGCTGCCGCCACCGGGACCGGGACCGGGACCGGGGCTGGAACCGGGGCTGGAGCTGGAGCTGGAGCTGGAGCCGGCCGGCGAGGCGAACCAGGAGCGGCTGATGATCTCGGACCGCTTGAGCTTCTGCCGGTCCTCGTAGGCTGCGGAGGAGGAGGAGGAGGAGGGGGCGTGGCTGGCAGCAGGCCCGGGGCTGCCCCCTCCCCGCGGCCCCCTAGCCGCACTCACAGTCCGGGGTGTGGAAGCGGAGCAGGGCGGCCAGCCTGCGGTCGGCCTCCGTCTCGGGCACCAGCGGGATGGCCAGGCTGGCCTTGGCCTGCAGCGCCTGGTCCCGCTGCTCCTCCTCCTGCAGGGCTTTCTTCTTCTCCTGCGCCCGGGGGTGGGGGGGGCACGGGGGTCAGGCCTCGCCTCGGAGTCCTCCGGGCTCAGCTTCGGCAGTGACAACAGCGCCCCCTAGGGCACGGTCCCCGCCTGCGCAGTAGCCGCGCCTGCACCTGCGCCTTCTGCTTTGGGGCAGGTGCCTGTCCCAGAGACATCAGCCGCCTGGGCCTCATCCACCCCCACCCCCACCCCCACAGCTTGCTTTCCCTGGGAGGCTCTTCCAAACCCGTGGGGGGAGGGACCATGGCGTTGGGGCATAGCGGATTATGCAACCGCCCGCAAACGCCAGCATCGCCTATGGCCGCCAGTTCGAGTCCCGGCGGCTCCACTTCCCACCCAGCTCCCTGCTATGACCTGGGAAAGCTCTGGAAGATGGCCCAAGTGCTTGGGCCCCTGCGCGTGCGTGGGAGACCCGGATGGGACTCTGGGTCCCGGGAGCCCGCAGGGTGCGCACCCGGAACCTCCTGCGGAGCGTGCTGTTGAGCGCGAAGTCGTCCTTCCAGGCGCTCTGGGCCTCCTGGATGTGGCTGAGGGTCGGCAGGGCCTTCTTGAGCGCGCCGCGGTCAGCTTCGCCGTGCTCCAGCCGGAACATGGCGTCCGTCTCCAGCTTCTGCTTCGTCTCGTGCTCTGCGCGCGAGGGAGGGAGGGGCTCTCAGCGGGGCCTGGCGGGGGGGGGGTCTGGGCTGGCCTGCACCCCAGGGCAGGGGCCGCGCTCACCTGTGGGCAGCACCTGCTCATTGTCCGCCATGTCCCAGCGCTCCTCCTTGCGCTGGGCGCCGCTCACGATCACATAGTCGCAGTTGGCAGGGTCTGTCTGCATCTCGATGTAGTTGACGCACAGGTGGCATTTCATCCGGAACCTGGGGGGGCAGGGGCGGGGCTGGGCCGCTGGCAGAGACTGGGGGGCGGGGGGCAGCTATCTATACCTGGGAGTGGGGCTGTGGTGACACAGGCTGCCCAGGGCTCACCTCCCCCGTGAGCTGAGGCTGGCTCACTGGTCCATTCATGCATCCATCCGTTCACCCATTCATCCCCTTGTCCATTCGTGCACTCCTTCATTCGGGCTGGGTGCTGGGGCGAGCTGAGATCTCACGGGGGGGGGGGGGGCAGGGGGCGGGGCCCTGGGAGGAAGGTGGGAGCTCTGGATGGCTCTGGGCAGGGGGCGTGCCCTGGGGGGACAGACCGGGATGCCTCTGGAAGCCTGTTGGGGTGTGGCAGACCCAGGAGGCCGGGAGCGCTCCCCAGAGCCGCCGCCCCCAGGGAAGACCCACCTGTAGATGGGGGTCGTGTAGTAGTTGCCCACTTTCTTCTTCTCCGCGTTGTAACGTACACCTGGTGGGGGGAGGGGGTAGAGGGTCAGGCCAGGCCGCCCCCGCTGCCGCCGCCACTTTTCCCAGAGTGGGAGGGAGGGGCGGCCAGCCCAGGGCCTGAATTCCGCTGGCACAGGAATTCCAGGCGAGAAAAGGGGCGCTTCCTGTTGCAGCCGCATGGAGCGGAGGAGGCCTGGGTTCGAATCACAGCTCCGGCACCCACCGCAGGGCCTCAGCTTCCCCGTCTAAACCATGGCTGCTTTTGTTTGCGGCCCAGTGCCTTAAGGGGCAGGTGCCCAGGGGCTGTGAACACAGGGAAGTGCCGGGGCTCACTCCTTACTTCCCCCCAGCAGTGAGGGCCCAGCCCATCCCTATACCCCCAAGGCCGCAGGGAGGCAGGCAGAGACCGGGTTTCAATGCAAGGACTTCGGCGGTGGGGGCTGAGTTTACTGCTTACAATGCCTGTGTTTGCATCGGGGTACCTGGGTTCAAGCCCCACTCCAGCCCCAAGTTCCTGCTCATCCAAGCCCTGTGGGGCAGCCGGTTCGAGTCCCGACTGCTCCACTTCCTGCTGATGCGCCTGGGCAAGCAGCGGAAGAGGGCCTGAGTGCACCCACGTGGGAGACCCGGATGGCACTCCAGGCTCTCAGCTTCTTTGGGCCTGGCCCAGCCTTGGCCACTGCAGCCACCTGGGGAGTGAACTAGCGGAGTCTAGTTCTTTCTCTGTCATTCTGCCTTTGGAATCCACCCACCCACCCACCCACCCATCCATCCTTTCACCCACTCATCCATCCATCCTTCCATCCATCATCCATCCTTCCTTCCATCCATCCATCCTTCCATCCATCCTTCCATCCTTCCATCTATCCACCCATCCATCCTTCCATCCATCCACATATCCATCCTTCCATCCATCCATCCTTCCATCCTTCCATCCATCCATCCTTCCATCCATCCTTCCATCCATCCACCCATCCATCCACCCATCCTTCCATCCACCCATCCATCCATCCATCCATCCATCCTTCCATCCATCCTTCCATCCATCCTTCCATCCATCCACCCATCCTTCCATCCATCCTTCCACCCATCCATCCTTCCATCCTTCCATCCATCCACCCACCCATCCATCCATCCATCCATCCACCCATCCATCCTTCCATCCATCCTTCCATCCATCCACCCATCCATCCTTCCATCCATCCATCCATCCTTCCATCCATCCATCCATCCTTCCATCCATCCATCCATCCTTCCATCCATCCATCCATCCTTCCATCCACCCATCCTTCCATCCACCCATCCATCCATCCATCCTTCCATCCATCCATCCATCCATCCATCCTTCCATCCACCCATCCTTCCATCCATCCTTCCATCCATCCATCCATCCTTCCATCCATCCTTCCATCCATCCATCCTTCCATCCACCCATCCTTCCATCCATCCATCCTTCCATCCATCCTTCCATCCATCCTTCCATCCATCCATCCATCCATCCTTCCATCCATCCATCCTTCCATCCACCCATCCTTCCATCCATCCATCCATCCACCCATCCTTCCATCCATCCATCCTTCCATCCACCCATCCTTCCATCCATCCCTCCATCCACCCATCCTTCCATCCATCCTTCCATCCTTAGATCCATCCATCCTTCCATCCATCCACCCATCCATCCTTCCACCATTCCATCCATCCATCCACCCATCCTTCCATCCTTCCATCCATCCACCCATCCTTCCATCCATCCTTCCATCCATCCATCCATCCATCCATCCATCCACCCATCCTTCCATCCATCCTTCCATCCATCCATCCATCCTTCCATCCATCCACCCACCCATCCATTCATCCATCCATCCTTCCATCCATCCTTCCATCCATCCTTCCATCCATCCATCCTTCCATCCATCCATCCACCCATCCATCCTTCCATCCATCCATCCATCCTTCCATCCATCCATCCATCCTTCCATCCATCCATCCTTCCATCCACCCATCCTTCCATCCATCCTTCCATCCATCCATCCATCCATCCTTCCATCCACCCATCCATCCTTCCATCCATCCATCCTTCCATCCATCCACCCATCCATCCATCCACCCATCCTTCCATCCATCCTTCCATCCATCCATCCATCCTTCCATCCATCCTTCCATCCATCCATCCTTCCATCCATCCATCCTTCCATCCATCCACCCATCCATCCATCCTTCCATCCATCCATTCTTCCATCCATCCTTCCATCCATCCATCCACCCATCCTTCCATCCATCCATCCTTCCATCCATCCTTCCATCCATCCATCCTTCCATCCTTCCATCCATCCACCCATCCATCCTTCCATCCATCCATCCTTCCATCCATCCATCCATCCTTCCATCCTTCCATCCATCCTTCCATCCTTCCACCATCCATCCACCTATCCATCCATCCATCCATCCACCCATCCATCCTTCCATCCATCCATCCATCCATCCATCCATCCATCCTTCCATCCATCCTTCCATCCATCCATCCTTCCATCCATCCATCCATCCTTCCATCCTTCCATCCATCCATCCATCCACCCATCCTTCCATCCTTCCATCCATCCATCCATCCACCCATCCTTCCATCCATCCATCCTTCCATCCATCCATCCATCCAAAGAACAAACAAGCCGGCAAAGAGGGCAGCCAGGGTACGGCAGGCCAGGGCGGCGGGACTCACCCATGCCAATGTGGTTCTTGCAGCCGTCACACCAGATGTTGTACGGCATCTCGAACCTGCAGACACAGGTGACACTCGTCAGCTGGCACCCTGTGCTGGTGGCTGGCGAGACCGCATCCTGCGGGGGACGCGTCGGGGCCAGGAACGCCGTCTTGCACCGAGGGGCTTCTCACAGGTGCACCTGGGTCTCCGTGGACAGCGGAGACCTAGCTCGTAACATGGGGACTGTAGGGGGTGGGCGAGCAGGCCCTGGGTGGCCCTGCTGGAGGATAAGATGCCACGCGCAGAACTAGGTTGCACAAGGTCAAGGCCAGCTGGCCCCTTGGCCGGGCAGCCTCAAAGCCCAGAGGCAGCCCAGCCCAGCTCAGCCCAGTCCGGCTTGTTACGCGGTGGTAGCTGACTGATGCATCAGGGAATTGTAGCCCTGCAATACCGCATCCAGGGTGGTGGCGGGAAGTGGGTGGGGAGGGGGAGGGGGACCCCAGGGGAAGCCAACACCTTACCGAATGATGAGGATGCCCTGTGACAGCTTCCGGGCCCGCTCCCGAAGCGGGTGGCTGTTGTGGTAACGGTTGAGCGAGCCATGCTGTGTGGAGGGGACGGGGGCGGGGAGACAGGTTAGCCCGGCTGAGTGCCACACAGGGTGGGCCGGGAGAACCCCGGCTCCCAACCCTGCAGGGGGCAAGGAGATCCTGGTGAAGCGGGGGGCTCAGGATCAGAACGGGGGCCAGCACGGCTGTATAGACACCCGACATGGGCGCCGGTTCAAATCCCGGCGGCTCCACCTTGGATCCAGCTCCCTGCTATGGCCTTGGAAAGCAGCGAAAGATGGCCAGAGTGCTTGGGCCCCTGTACCCACATGGGAGACCCAGAAGAAGCTCCTGGTTCCTGGCTTCTGCCTGGCCCAGTCCTGGCTGTTGTAGACAGCTGGGAAGTGGAAGACTCCTCTCTCTCTCTTCCTCTCTCTCTCTCTCTCTCTCTCTCTCTCCTCGCCACCCAACCCTGTCCCTGTCTAGCTCAGTTTTTTTTAAGACTCAGGAAAGCAGGTGTCTCTGGGTACCCACGGGGGATGGGTTCCATGGTCTCCCTGGGATACTCAAATCTGCAGCCGCTCAGCCCCGTCACGACCCAGGGCAGAGCAACAGGGAGCCCCATCTGCAGGGGCCAGGGTCTCCCCCCAACCCCACCCTGTCGTTTCTCACCGATGGTGGGGACCCCATGGGTGAGGGCCAACCTTTCTCGCCTCCCCAACTGGCAGCTGGAAGAAGCTGTGTGACCTTGGCCTCCGCACCTCAGTTTCCCCATTTATCTATTAGCTGGGGCTAACGGGCCTTTGGACCTCCAAGTTTTGGGGGCAGGGGTCGGGGGGCACCATGAGCCAGATCCCCATCCTGGGGTCATTTTATTTGCCCTCCTGACATGGGGCGGGGGTGGGGGAGGAACTGTGGCCTGCCCTAATCCCTCCTCTATGAGGGAGACCCGGCCACTCCTGGCCGCGGTGGGCGGGGTTTAAGGCGTGCAGAGGCAACAGAGAACCAGAAGGTGATGGGGTGGGGGTGGGGGGGCAGGACCTCTGTGTGGAACGACCTAGAGGGAGGCAGAGGGGGCAACAAGGCCGCCATGGGAGCCCCATCCCCGCACCCTACCGCATCCTAAGCTCTGCTGTGTACATGCTGAGCCCGGCACTGGGCACGCAGGGGATGTCTCCAGCATGGCCACTGCAGCCCCCCACCCCCACCCCAGACACCCGGGAAGGCAGGAAGCCGCCCCTTACCTTCTCGGGGTTGAAATCGGGCGGGTAGTACTTGTTCACGCCTTTCCGTTCCCCCTGGAGGACAGAGGAGAGAGAAGTGACTCAGAGCCCGCCACCGGGAGACCGGCAGGTGCGTGCGAACTCCGGGGATGGGGGGTGGGGGCGTCCGTCTTCACGCCAGAGTCATCTCCTACGCAGTCAGTGCTGCTGGCCTGTCCGACCCCCCACCCCCAAAATATCCCTGTGTTGTGACTGGCTGAATCCGCGGCCGTGGAACCTGTGGTCACAGAGCGGGAGGGGGTTGCCTCTGTCCGGTCCAGGGGCTCTGATCTGGCTGAGGGCCAGAGCCAGGGGTGGGAAAAAACCCAAGGTCAGTGTCACTGCTTTGGACAAGTCCAAGGGGAAGTTCAGACGCCGCTCATGGAGCCAAGGGCACCTGGTAGCAGCCAGACTTGGAATCGCGAATGGGGAGCCCTCCCTGGGCTCCCCGTGGGGTCCCGCCCACCCTCTCCGGCCAGCCCCCCCCGCCGCCCACCAGGCGCCAAAGCGCCTGGCTCCACGGTGTACAGGAGCTCCTTGGCCTAGGATGGAGACACGTCGCTCTAAAGCTCGCAGAAATGGAAATTATTTTCAGTCAAAATGGGTTTAACGCCCGTCACCGCTCAGCAGCGCTGAATCCCGGCCAGGTCAGGGACCACCCTGCCCCGTGTTGCAGGCAATGATGCTGGGTGGGGGTGGGGTCACGGGTGTTCAGACCCACTCTGGGGGAAGGTGGGTGTCTGGGGCAGTGCTTGGGGGATGCTGCACCCCCTGCCTGTCTGTGTGCCCGGTTCGAGTCCCGGCTGCTCCACTTCCGATCCAGCTCTCTGCTGTGGCCTGGGAAAGCAGCAGAAGATGGCCCAAGTGCTTGGGCCCCTGCACCTGCGTGGGAGACCTGGAAGAAGCTCCTGGCTTCGGTCTAGCCCAGCTCCGGCCGTTGCGGCCATTTGGCGAGGGAACCAGCGGATGGAAGACCTCTCAAATATATAAACACTGCTGCCTCCCACCCCTTCCCGGGAGATCTGGGCGCGCCGCAAAGCTTCGGAATCTGCAGCAAGACGTCCAGGCTGAGAGCTGGCCAGAGTGGCCGTGACCTTGGCAGACGCCGACTTGGGGGGGTGGGGGGTGGGGCCGGAGGAGCGGGACTCCCGGCAGGCCCGACAGAGACGGAGCCAGGAACCCAGGGAGCGCCCGGCCTTCCCTCCACTCACCATCTTGGGAGCTGCCTACTGGCCTTGGCCTTCAAGGTGGCCGACCCGCAACGTGCTTTCTCGAGCCTGGCACAGGGGCCACGGCTTCCCGGGGAGGATCTCGCGGGCCGTGCGGCGGAGCCAGTTCAGAGGAGTCTCGGGCCCGATGGGGGAGGCATCCGAGGAGCCGCGTGCATCTCCTAGGGAGGGAGGGAGGGAGGCGTCAACTCCACAGCGGGCTACACGAGCGAGCTTCCTGGAGCACGGGATTAAAGGTTATGTTTATTCTGGTGCAAAAACACTTGGAATCCAGGGGCCAGCATCGCGGCATGTTAGGTTGAGCCAACGCCTGCTGCGCTGGCATCCCACGTGGGCGCCGGTTCGAGTCCCGGCTGCTCCACTTCCCATCCGGCTCTCTGCTATTGGCCTGAGAAAGCAGTGGAAGATGGCCCAAGTGCTTAGGTCCCTGCACCTGCGTGGGAGACCCGGATGGAGCTCCCGGCTCCTGATCAGCCCAGCTCTGGCCGTTGCGGCCATCTGGGGAGTGAACCAGCAGATGGAAGACCTCTCTCTCTCTGCCTCTACCTCTCTCTGCAACTCTGTCTTTCAAAAAAGCAAATCAATCTTAATTTGGTTTTCCGAGCATCATTTTACAGCGTCATTGGGCTTAAAGGCAAGGGCTCCCTTCCAAGGAAGACAAGGGCCCGCATCAGACGTCATAGGGGCCCAGGGTTAAGTCGGGGGTCGCAGCGGGGGCCCGGGGGACCTGGGTCGCCCGCCGGGCCCCGCACCCCTCCCATTCCGTGTCCGCCCAGGAGCCAGGTGGCCCCTGACCCCAAGAGCCCGCACTTACCTGCCCTCCTCTGACGTCACGCCGCGACGGTCCCGGAAGCGCGCCCTGGATCGCGGCGACTTGACCCCCTTGCGCAGGCGCCGGAGCGGGGCGGGGGCGGGGCGAAGCAGCAGCGCCGCGCTGATTGGCTGAGAGTCCACAGCCCGCGCACTCACAAGCACCGGAATGGAGCAGAACGAGTATTCCCCGCCCCCACGGAGCCACACCCCCTTTCCCCGCCCACTCCGCGCGAGGCCCAATCGGAGGCCCGCTTTCTGATGCCGCCCTCCCGGAAACGCCGCGTCCTGCGCTGCCGCCGCTGAGTGATGGGTGTGTGAGCTGCACAGGCGCTGGCCTCGAGCGTGTGTGCGCACGCGCCTGGCTGTGGGCTGCCCAGGCTCCGGCCTGTCGGCGTCGGAGACGTGTGGGTGGCGCCGGCGGGGCGGTGGCCGGCGCCCGGTCCACCCTCGCCGCAGTGAGCTGGGCGGCAGGTGTCTGCGCCAGCAGGAAAGACGGGGTGCCCTGGGACCCCGCCTGGCCGGGCCCTCTGCGGGGCAGCTGTGCATCTTCCACTTCTACGAACGGGGAACCGGGTCCAGCCTCGGACGCAGGCGGCACACCACAAAGCGCATGCGCAAGCACGCGCGCGGCCCCGCCCGGACGCCTGGGCAGGTTGTCAAGGCAACCGGGGCGGGGCCAGGATGCCGACTGTGGGTGCAGGCGGTGCACCGCAAAAGCATGCGCAAACACGCGCGGCCCTGACGCCGGCGCGGTTGTTAAGGCAACAGGGCGGGGCCTGAACGCCGACGGTGGGGCAGGAAGCGCACCTCAAAACGCATGCGCAAGCACGCGCGAGGCCCCGCCCGGACGCCTGGCCCGGTTGTCAAGGCAACCGGGACGGGGCCAGAACGCCCACGATGGGTGGAGCTTCTCAAACGCGTTCTCTGATTGGTTGGCCCGAAGCCAAGTTTCCGTCCATCACCACAGGCGGAGGCCGGCCTGGGTCCACGCACAGCGCTCGCTGGAACACGCGCGCTCAGGGCGCCCCGCTGGACAGGGCGCTTCCCCTCCCCGTTTCCTCTGTGGCCTGGGCGCTCCGGGTGGCTCTGGACGGCGTCTGTGCTTAGTGTCTCAGAGTGAGTCAGGGGGGACTCAGCCCACGCAGGGGACTCAGCCTACGCAGGGGACTCAGCCACGCAGGGGACTCAGCCACGCAGGGGACTCAGCCACGCAGGGCACTCAGCCACGCAGGGGATTCAGCCACTCAGGGGACTCGGGCCACGCGGGGGACTCAGCCACGCAGGGGGACTCGGGCCACGCGGGGGACTCAGCCCACGCAGGGGGACTCGGCCACGCAGGGGGGACTCCGCCACGCAGGGGGGACTCCGCCACGCAGGGGACTCAGCCATGCAGGGCACTCAGCCATGCAGGGGATTCAGCCACTCAGGGGACTCGGGCCACGTGGGGGACTCAGCCCACGCGGGGGGGACTCGGCCACGCAGGGGGACTCGGCCCACGTGGGGATTCAACCACTCAGGGGGACTCAGCCCACGCAGGGGGGACTCAGGCCACGCAGGGGGACTCGGCCCACGCAGGGGGGACTTGGCCACGCAGGGGGGACTTGGCCACGCAGGGGGACTCAGCCCACGCAGGGGGGACTTGGCCACGCAGGGGACTCAGCCCACGCAGGGGACTCAGCCCACGGGGGGGGACTCGGCGACGCAGGGGACTCAGCCACGCAGGGGGACTCAGCCCACGCAGGGGATTCAGCCATGCAGGGGGACTCAGCCACTCAGGGGGGACTCAGCCCACGCAGGGGGACTCAGCCCACGCAGGGGGGACTCGGCCCACGCAAGGGGGACTTGGCCACGCAGGGGACTTGGCCCACGCGGGGGACTCGGCCACGCAGGGGGGACTAGGCCCACGCAGGGGGACGCAGGGGGGACTCGGCCTACGCTCTCAGCCCTCGCTCTCCATGTCCACGGCAGTGTCTCGGAAATCTGGAACTCGGGTGCCGGAGCTGCCCCTCCCCCTCCCCCCCCTCCGCACAAGGCCAAGGTCCCGGAAGGGGCTGAGTCCAGTCGCTAAGCTGTAGGACCGGCGTTGGATTTTCTTCCAGGAAGTTCTCCGTACCAGCTGCTCCGCCTCCGCCTTCGGAAAAGACTGATGTGTTTACAGGGAAAGGGAGAGAGAGAGAGGTCTTCCATCACTGGTTCCCTCCCCAGATGGCTGCAATGCCGGAGCTGAGCTGATCCAAAACTAGCAGCCAGGAGCTCCATCTGGGTCTCCCACGCAGGTGCAGGGGCCCAAGCACCTGGGCCATCTTCCACTGTTTTCCCAGGCGCATTAGCAGGGAAGTGGAACAGCCGGGACTCGAACCCGCGTCCCGTGGTAGGGAACTCCCAGCGGTTAAGGCGCAGGTGAGAATGGAGGAAGTCCTGCGACATTTTTCGTGCCTCCCTGCGACCTCTTTCGTGCGGTGCCGTGACCTTTTTCGTGCCGTCCTGAGACCTTTTTCGTGCGGCACCATGACCTTTTTCGTACCGCCCTGCGACCTTTTTCGTGCCGCGCCGCGACCTTTCTCGCGCTGGGCTGCTGCAGCGTTAACGTTTTTAAGGCCGACAGCTCGTTTGTGCCGGCTTGTCTAGAGCTGACTGCACTCATTCCAGGGTGTCGTACTGGCCGAGGTGTTAAAGCTTGGCTTTTGTGTCTCTGGTTTTGGATCAGAGCGAGGCCAGCGAGCTCTGACCCCCTGCTTGTGTGTTTGTCAATAAAGTTTTATTGGCACACGCCCGTTTGCTTCCTGGTGGTCTAGGAGCTGAGTCACTGGGGAGCCGAGACCACCCGGGCTGCAAAGCTGAGAATATCTACTGCCCGGCCCTTTAAGGACGGGGAGGGGGGCAGGGGTGGTGCAGGGGCGCGGGGTGGGGAGGGGTCTTTGCACACCTGGCCCTGGAGCTGGAGCTGCTGGTACCTCCGGTGTCGTGGCGCGGGCTGGCCGCGCGGGGGCGCAAGAGCTCCGTCTCCGCGTCGAAGCACCCCGCGTCTGCCTAGGAAATTTTATTTATTTATTTAGTAAATTTGCCCCAGCTTCTAACGTGCTCGCGGGTGTGATTTAATCTACAAATTCGACCTGGCTTTTGATTTTTAGTTTATTTCGGTTGAAAAATGAAAAAGGCCGGCGCCGTGGCTCAATAGGCTAATCCTCCACCTTGCGGCGCCGGCACACCGGGTTCTAGTCCCGGTCGGGGCGCCGGATTCTGTCCCGGTTGCCCCTCTTCCAGGCCAGCTCTCTGCTATGGCCAGGGAATGCAGTGGAGGATGGCCCAGGTGCTTGGGCCCTGCACCCCATGGGAGACCAGGAAAAGCACCTGGCTCCTGGCTCCTGCCATCGGATCAGCGCGGTGCGCCGGCCGCGGCGGCCATTGGAGGGTGAACCAACGGCAAAGGAAGACCTTTCTCTCTCTGTCTCTCTCTCTCACTGTCCACTCTGCCTGTCAAAAATAAAAAAAAAATAAAAAAATTAAAAAAAGAAAAATGAAAAAAAAAGGGATGTTATTTGGAAATCATTTCAGACTTTGCAAAAGATTGCAAAAAAAATTAAGATTTTTTTTTTACCGTATAGAATTGGAAACAAACGCTTAAATCGGTTCGGGGTAACGTTAGTCACAGCAGCCCGAAGGGGGCGCCACCCGCGTATCCGTCAGCAGAGGACTAGATCCACAGAACTGTGCCGCAATGGAATATTAGGCAGCCATGAAAAAGAGCGGGGCACTGATCCCTGCTACCAGGTGGATGAATCTCGAGAGGAAGGAGCAGGGGGAGAGAGAGGGAGAGAGAGAGAGAGAGGTCTTCCATCCGCTGGTTCACTCCTCAATTGGCCACAACGGCCGGAGCTGCGCAGATCGTAAGCCAGGAGCCAGGAGCTCCATCCGGTTCTCCCACATGGGTGCAGGGGCCCAAGGACTTGGCCCATCTTCCACTGCTTTCCCAGGCCACAGCAGGGAGCTGGATCGGAAGTGGAGCAGCCGGGACTTGAACTGGTGCCTCTATGGGATGCATATTTAGGTCTTGTAAATGTGCGGCAGGGGTTTGTCAGGGCGGGGCGGGGGCAGCTGACCTCAAGGGCTGCAGACACAGCCCGGCCATCGCTGGTCATCTCAGTACTTGGAAGCCTTAGGACAGGTTCCCGCTGCTCTGATAATTGGTTTTCTCTCCCCTGTCCTGCTCCTGGCGCCGGTGCATGGACGAATGGCCGGGTCCTCACCCTGCCACGGCCCCTCTGCGCTGTCAGAGGTCAGAGCTCTGGCCCAGGGGCCAGCCCAGCTTGGCCCCCACTCAGGGTCTTTGGGCCAGAGTGAGCCCCCCGCAGCCCAGCAGCGCCCCGCGTGCCGGCTGTCTCGAGGGCAGCAGGGAAGGGGGAGGGGAACGTGACCAGGTGTGGCCCCCAAGGAGGAGCCGTCCACCCCCGGGCTCCAGAGACGTCCCCTGCTGGCAAAGACACGCGCCCAGGAGCCCACGGTCACGCACCTGCCGTGCCCCACTGCCGGATTCTGATTGACGGGCGCAGTGTGCCCTCTGTGGGGGTCCAAGGAGACGTCCAGCCCAGCGAGGGCAGCTCACAGAGGCCACCGAGACGCTGGGCAGCGCTGAGGCTTGGCGACTGGGTGACTCCGCCCCCCGAGTGGCCCTTAACCAGTGACTGACGGGAGGTGTGACTCCGCCCCCTGAGTAGCCCTTAACCAGTGACTGACGGGTCTGCGACTCCGCCCCCGAGTATCCCTTAACCAGTGACTGACGGGTCTGTGACTCCGCCCCCCGAGTAGCCCTTAACCAGTGACTGACGGGTCTGTGACTCCGCCCCCTGAGTAGCCCTTAACCAGTGACTGACGGGTCTGTGACTCCGCCCCCTGAGTAGCCCTTAACCAATGACCGATGGAGCTGTGACTCCGCCCCCGTCAGCCCAGCCTCGTGCCTGTCCTTGGAGCTGGGGTCCCGGGTCGCCTGGATGCTCCAGGGGTCGGTGCACGGAGAAGTAGAAGCAGAGGCGGGTTGTGTGCTGGCTTCTTCCTGGGCGTGGGGTTTGGAGTCGCCGATCGCCTGAGTGGGCGCGGGGGGGCATCAGAGCCCCGCAGCAGCCATATTATGGATTTTGTAGGGGGGGAGTATATTTTTAGTGGCAGT